TCCTGAACCCTGATCATCTTAATGGCCCTCCTCTGGTCTGTCTCCAGTTTGGTAGTCTCTCCCATAAAAAAATGTAAAATGTAATTAAACCAATTATACAAAACAATAATTCCTGAAAGCAAAGTGCACACTGGGGGTGGAATACACAGGACCCAAAACTGAAGAAGTTCATGGCCGAGATTCTTTTCTGCTTTCTCCTAACTGTCACCGAATGGTCTTCTCAGCTAGTATCCAAGGTAGAAATTAAGAATAGGGTAAATGATTTTGCATCCCCAAAATACCTAGTTCCTGCCACTGAAATTTAAGAGGCAAACATGATTGGCTGAAGTCAGATAAAAAAAAAAAAGTCTCCAGTTGCAAAACCCATTCTCTCCCTCTAGTGAATGCATTTTTGTTCAACTCTGGGAACAACCAATAGGGCACAGATTTGCACTTGAAGTCTTGCAGGCAGCAGTACTCCGGTAGTCCCAGTACTCCAGATGGTACTCTTCGAGCTGAAAATGCCCAGAAACTCTTAGTCCTCCTTAACTCAAAGTGGGATGGGGAATGGCAGGCACTTGCTCTCCCTGCAACCTGTCAATTTACAGATAATATCAGCTGGAGTATTTGTGTCTCCTTAATAAGCAACTTCCAGGTGAAATCCTTCCTGCAGTGATAGCACCTCAAGTGGGAGGTTGGGAACATCCCTCTTCCTGGGAGACCCAGCAGAATCACAGGCACACTGAACACAAAGGGAGACACCTAATAAGCTTAACAAAACCAGAATGTCACCTTCTATGTGCATTAGGGCTGAATTGCTAGTGCTGCTTGATGCCTCACACCTGTTTTTTTTTAAAGACCTAATTGCATTATAACATCATATTAACTGTAATTAATGCTTTTAATTTTCTACATCCTTTTAAATAAAACAAATCAGTTAAAGTGGCTTGAAAATAAGTTTCTGTTCACTGTTTTGCTTCTTTATTGTCCACATACCTGGGTCTGAACAATATTCTCACGTAACTGATCAGCAGCCTGAGGTAGGCACCTGCTTTCTCTGCTTGGCCAGTTTACAGCAGCACTTGCCCCTTTCAAGGCAATTTATGACAATGTTCAAGCAAGCCAAGATCTACCCAAATGGACCAGTTGGGACTAGCTTCTATGCAGATGGTTCTTTGTAGCTCCACCAGTCAACAGCTTTGGAGCAGTTGCATCCACAGAGTTTGGTGGATTTATCCACAGCCCCTGTTGGGGCTACTGGTTGCTTCTCATTAGTGCAGCTGTAGAAGGTTAGTGTCTGGCCAACTAGATCCTCTCCAAAGGTGCTGGAAAACTAAAACTCATATCAAATGATTCTAGTTGAAAAACTGGTAGCGGACTTAAATCATACGCCTGTCAGTTAAGACTCCCTTGACTTTTCTATTTGATTGCTCCTGGCATATAGGACATAACTTTCCCATAAACAACATGGCAGTGGCCTCTGTGACCAGTCATTGGATGCATGTTGGTCTAGCTCATTAGGTCCTACAGTCCAGGGGCTGCTGTCTCGGGCAGGAGGGAGGAATTTGAGTACTCCCTGCAAGTGCAGAAAAACAAGTTTAGCCAGGGAAATGGTTTAAATACATGCATAGAGAGACATTACACTTCTGTAATAGAGAAAATACATCCCAAAGAGTTAAACTATGACAGGAAAAAAGTCATAACTGAACTTGACTTTCACCTGCTGTTCCATTTTCCCYGCCTCCTCTCTTACCAAACCAGACATGGTCCTCTGCAGCTGATAGACCTTTCAGAAAAAGCTTTATTCCTTGCAGCATTTAACCGCTGGCTGAGAAGAGGTAGGGGGTTTCTAAATTGCTTTCTCTGAACTTAAGAGAAAGTCCCGTTACTGCATGGATTTTTTTTTCTCATTGCATGGTAASAGTGGGGATGGGAAGGAGGAAAGTGGGAGTTAGAAAGGATGTTACCAGCAGGGAAACATCTTTGAACTGAAAATTGAGATGCTCACAGGTAGGAAAGGCTTTTTCTTCATTTCCATTTGACCGATTGCTAGAGTACTGTGACATCCCCAGCGTACTTATGAAGGGCTGAAAGTGCCACAGATAGCCACCCGACTTTGATTTCCATATTGCTTTGCAGCAGACATGTCTCTGCAGAAAAGAAGGAAACAACCTGAGTAAAAAACCTCCAGGTCCCTCCTGTCATTGGCAACACTGCAATATTGATGTGAGGGGCTTCACTTTTTGTTGCCCTGAATAAGCTGAAAGTTTTACACAACCTGTTATTACAGCACTTTGTAGGAAGAATTAACTTACTTTTGACCTAAGACCTGAGGACACTTGGTGGTGCTGTCTCCATTTTGTCATGACACTTACATGAATTTTGACCCATTTGCCACCTCAGTTCTCATTTTTTTCCATCCTAAAGAAACACTGATGCCACTRCAGAACTCCAGGTCTTGATATCAAACAGAGGAAAGAGTTTTAAGTAAGTCATTTATTTTCTGAATATTTTCCTAACTAGTTTTACTTCTCTGTCTACTACTCTCATAGCACCATCTCATAGTATCAGTGTCAGTGAGCATCACCAAGCAGTGCTGCTGCACTTTTGTTGAGCAAAAAATCCGTAGGGAAAGCTCGGAAAGGCGAAGAGCTCTCCTATAAGCAGGGGATGCAGTAACAGAAGTGCAGTGCTGGGTGTGAACATTGGTCTTGCCGCATGGTATGACACCCATCCCACATGTCCATGCTCGACGGCTAATGGGATGAGCAAACCATCCCCTGGAACTGATGACGGAGCTCACTGATGTCATGGTAACATGATGAGGCGACAYAGAATCATAGAATCATAGAATCATAGAATGCCGAAGGTTGGAAGGGACCTCAGAGGTCATCGAGTCCAACCCCCCTGYTCMMGCAGGGTCACCTAGAGCACGTGGCACAGGGCTGCATCCAAGCGGGTTTTAAAGATCTCCARAGAAGGAGACTCCACAACCTCTCTGGGCAGCCTGTTCCAGTGCTTTGTCACCCTCACAGTGAAGAAATGCTTCCTTAAGTTCCTGTGGAACTTCCGATGCTTCAGTTTGAAGCCATTTCCTCTAGTCCTATCCCTGCCCACCACTGAAAAGAGGCYGCCCCCCTCYTCCTCACTGCCTCCCTTGAGGTATTTATACACGCTGATCAGGTCCCCCCTCAGCCTCCTCTTCTCCAGGCTGAACAGACCCAGCTCTCTCAGCCTTTGCTCATAGGGCAGATGTTCCAGGCCCCTGATCATCCTGGTAGCCCTGCGCTGGACTCTCTCCAGCAGCTCCACATCCCTCGTACTGGGGAGCCCAGAACTGGACACAGTACTCCAGATGTGGCCTCACCAGGGTTGAGTAGAGGGGGAAGATCACTTCCCTCGACCTGCTGGAGACGCTTTTCTTAATGCACCCCAGGATCCCGTTGGCCTTCTTGGCCACMAGGGCACACTGCTGCCTCATGGTCAACTTGTCGTCCACCATGACACCCAGGTCCCTCTCTGCGGGRCTGCTCTCCAGCAGGTCCACTCCTAATCTGTACTGGTGTCCAGGGTTATTCCTCCCCAAGTGCAGGACCCTGCACTTGCCCTTGTTGAACCTCATGAGGTTTCTCGACGCCCCAGTCCTCCAGTCTGTCCAGGTCCCTCTGGATGGCAGCACAGCCCTCAGGGCTCTCAGCTACTCCACCCAGTTTGGTATCGTCRGCAAACTTGCTGAGGGAGCACTCCAGCCCTTCATCCAGGTCGTTAATGAATAAGTTGAACAGGACCGGACCGAGAACTGACCCCTGGGGGACACCACTAAGTACAGGCCTCCAGCTGGACTCCGCACCATTGACAACCACTCTCTGCACCCTGCCACTGAGCCAATTCCTAATCCACCTCCGTGGATTAGGACATCCTTCATGTCTCTTGAGAACATGGATTTAATGGGCAACAGGGTCACTGCACACATACCAACTATGCAACTCTTGCCCTGTGATGTGTTGAGGGGTCCCTAAGGAGAAACTGCAGTGAAATAATGACATTAAAGAATCCAAAAAGTAGCATTTTCAACAATGGTGTACACAGAGTGGCAATAAAATGTTACAATCCTTGCAGAGTTAATACTTCTTGTCCTGTTTCCTCCTTTGAAAATAGGATAAAAATCAAGAAAAAAAATCAACACAGCTGGGCTTTTTTTTTTCTTTTTGTTTACTTGGAAAATTTGTTTTAACCATCAACTTTAGCAAATTTTGGCAGTTACAAACCTGTACATTTTTTTTTTGTTGTTGTCATTTTGTTTTTATAGCAAAAGAACACAAGACAATACTGCCAACAGCAACTATGAAGAAACAATTAGTTTTCAGGTGAGGGACTATACCCACTTGAAGTGATAAACCTTCCCTTTTGCATAAAGGTTGAATTTGTTGTCATTGGAGAAATGACATCTCTTAATACCTACTTGAAATGGCATAAAAATCATATCTCTATTTCATTTTTGTGCAAAACACGTTCATTTAAAAAAAGTCAATAAAAAACATCCTCTTAAAAACAGAAAAAGTTAAACAAAAAGAGCTGAACCAAAAGGAAAGTTACAGTACATTTTGAAATGATTAAAAAGTGCCAGTTTTCAAATCTAAAACTTTTTTCTTTTTTTTTTTTTTTGCTGTTACCTTAAAAGTTTAACCCAACTTGGATGCCTCTTTAGAATTATATCAAACAAACAAATGAACCAAAAAAAAAAAAAAAAAAAAAAAAAAAAAAAAAAAAAAAAAAAAAAAAAAAATTAAAGCGACCTGACTGGCATCAAATATCTACAAAAGCCTGGTAACTTGAAACCATTATATACATTATTTTATAAATTTCTTTTTCAACACCAAAACATACATCTTTTACAAACCAGCCTGCTTGCAACAGGTAAAATTTACAAGACAATCTTTCTGATACAGTGCTTTAAAGAGAACTACTTTCATTCCTAAACACTTTTGTCACTTCCTGAAAAGTGACAGTACGTGCTCATCTGATTGTTAAATAAGAGCAATTCAGGTATTCCTAGGACAGAAGAAYGCTACAGTTCTGAGGGCTCCAATCTCTTTCCACAACACAGTTCAAGTGCACTCTTAACACTGGTAAAGATTACTTATGGCCTTTGTGTAATACGACATATTTGTAATTATTGCTTTTCATTATTAAATAAAGAAATGAATTTTATTTCATTTCCTCCCCATCTGCCCACCCCCTTATGATGCATCTCATTTACTAACTGAATGCTCCTTTGGATTTACTAACTGAATGCTCAAGTGGATGTTGAAAGTYAAGTTTATGAAATGCAGACTAAAGGCAATGGATAATGGGCAATACCCTCAATTTCTAGGGCTCAAATCACTGGTGTATTGACAAAAATAGAGATGCAAACAGGCAAAAAGAACAGTTTTCCACAGACCTTGTATCACACAATGAACCTGAAGTTGTAGCTCTCTCTTTGGAAACCTTGAAATGTCCATGATTACTCAGTTAATAGTTCCAAAATTCCAACAAAGCGCAGATGTACTTCCACAGCTGGTTTCGACCTGCTGTTRTTCTCCATTAGGACGGATGCTACCTTTCCAAACAAATCAAGCAGAATTGGTCCAGGGCTCCTTCAGTGTTCTCCTGTACTTGTTAATTAATGGCTATAAGGAATTGCCATATCATTTACATCAGCGAGTTTTTTCAGACTCCTGGTGTGCAGCAAATCTGTGCTCTGAAAATATCTTCCCTTACTCTTTCTTCACCTTTCTCTTTACAGTGGAATTTATGATGAGAGCAACAATTCATCTTCTCATTGCTGACTATCTGCAGGACTTCCAGAGACAACAGGCTGCTTCCTTCTTAATGACCAGCATATCAGTGGTATRCATTTCCTCAGTGTTGTATTTAGTCTGAGCTTCTCATTAGCGAGGGCACCAAAAGAGTAGGCTAGCACTAAGTCAGACCATGCAAGGGAATTTAGAAAAATAAAAATCTGAGGACCAAAATTTGACCTGTCTATGGAACATACAAAGGATAAGAGTCCACTTCAGAGGTGGAGCACGCTACTTTTGGCATTAATACAGTGGCTCTGAGAAGTCTTTGACTCCCTCCCGCTTTGCATTGCTCTATAGGCTTCAGAAATCCACAGGACATCTCAGGATCAGTTATAGGAATCTTTCTGGGCTGGATGGATATCATAGCACTGTTAGGAGTCCCTGCAGTGCTACATCCTCCTGGTCACCCTCATATGCTGTGTCCTACAGGAGAGTCCTCAGAAGGCCACTTTACAGTTGTCTCCTGGAGGGGCTGTCCATTCGGCCCTATGGGAAGGAAGTGATGCTGTATCATGGTATCACCTTTGGTCCTTTGCTCTGCAAAAGACACTTGATCTGGACAACCAACCTTTATATCCAGTATCTTGGAGAATTTTTTTTTTTTTTTTTTAGGATATTTATAATGTAAATGCAGAATAATTAGGATAGAAAAAGTTTGGATAAGAAAAGTTGGTAAGTCTAATCTTTCCTTTTGCACGAGGGCACTTAATGCAGCCGTGGCAGCACAAATTGCGTGGTCAGTCTTCGAAGGCGCTTTCCATTGCCAGAATTACTGAGAGAGCTGGTGCCATGTGCACATGGCACCCTTAACCCGAGCCAAAACACGGGGAGCTTGCACCCTCTTTCAGCTGGACACTCACACCTTGCAAACTGAGTGGRCTTTGATACAAACATGCATTTTAGCAAATTGCTTCTTTCTCTCCTTGCTTCTTTACAAAAGCCAAAGTCTCTAGCAACTCCAAGGGATATTTATCAGCTGCTAAGCTGTACTTTTGCCTAGGGAACCTCTCCTACAGATGACTCTGAAGGGAAGTTCTGTGCAGTGGGGCCATCTACAGAACATGAACAGAAATACAGACATGTACAATTAAGGCCCAACAGGCAGCAGATATGTCAGGAGAGGCTCTAACAAAGTCGTGGCTCTAGGAAAGACAGCAGCAGCTATATAAAAATCACCACCAGGCGACAGATACTGGATGAAGCAATGTGAACCCTAATATATTCACATCACGTTGTGATTATGTTGTAACTGCACAGGTTAAAAGACTAGGRCTCATCCATGTGCAGCAGCAACTACAAAGGAAAAGAAGACAGTTGCTTGGATTAATGAGAGAATGAGAGAACATGAAAATCTTACTCCCTAGGAAGTATTTCACCTTGGGATCTGCATCCAGGTTCGCCACTTTATCCAAAAGAGCAGAAGGGAACCCCAAAGGCCACAGAAGTGGTAACACACAAGGAGGGGCATCTGCTTGGAGATGCAGAGATGAGACTGGGCATGTTCGATTTGGAGAGGAGAAGATACTGAGGTATAGAAGTCATAGGGGGGGCAGAGAAGGCTAAACTGGGTGACCCTTCCCAACAGCACTTTAATAAGTAGGTGTTCAGTGAAATGAAATGGCAACAGTATCAAAAGAGAAAAAAAAATTATACATTGTATTTATGCATCTTTTACTAGTAAAACTCACTATTTTTACCAACAAGATATTACTGAGGCAACAAGCTTAGTAAAAAACATTGTTTTGTATGACAATTGCTAGGCTCCCAATGATGTTTCCCTTTGTGACACTTCTGATATGTCCAAGTAAAGGTTTGATATCAGTGTCTCTGGCTTGCTACCAAGATGACAAGTACACTTGATCGGGGGCTAAAATAGAACTAGTTGCATAATAGTTTTAAATGTATCACACCAAAATTGACTAGGAACAAGCTCCACAAATACTGCAGCTGGATGCTAAGAAAGATTATTACATTCTCAGAAAGTGATACCAGCTTTAAAATTACTGCACAGCACCTAAACTTGCAGCTATATTTTTGAAACTCGAATGTTTCTTGCTCTTGAACAGGCATCAGTCTAGTTCTTGCACTTGCTTTCCAGCAACACAAGCATCATGAGCAATGCAAGTCATCCTCTATCTGCTCCTCAACACTTGCCAAAGCATTTCATGGCTTCATTTTAAACAAATCCCTCAGTTCCTTGCAATCACGATGGAAATTTCCATTTTTTTCCCCTTGAAAACACGGGGAGAAAGCAATGAAAAGGAGTTGAAATGTACCACTAGCACATTCAGAATATACCACCGTGACAGAAGCACGTTAACTTTGAGAAGACCAAGTGACATTCAGAAATTCAATGAACAGGAACCGACAAGTACTTGGTAATACTTGTATGTGCAGTACATGGCTTTTCTAAAAGTTTGCTCAATTTATTCATGTACCTCTGAAAAATGAGCTGTTTTCTAATGAAGAACTGCTGCATGAACCCAAAGAAAAGGTCTACACCAACCTTGCTCTGATACATGAGGTACTGGAGGGAAGCAGCAACATAGCACATTTACTCCATGAATTTTAGAGATCCTGTTTTATTAAAAGTGTTACAAGCTGCAATTGTTTAAATTACATTCTATTGTTAATTTCTTTTTGTTTGGAATGATTTTGAATAAACAGTTCCTGTATGTCACAAAATGGCCCACAATTTAATTTGGCGTAAAAATCAATTCAGTTAAGAATACATTGCCTAGAATACAACCGCTGAAACTATTCAGTTAAGACACTTCACCAAGAGACAGGATATGGAAACTGGCATGGGAAACCTGTTGATATATCTGTTCATCTGTAACAATGCTTCARCCTACCAATAGTTTATCAAAATGACTGAAATATGGCATGGGAAGAATGGATGAAACCCCAGCAGTAATGCATGCTCCAGACTCACACTCACTGTGTTAGATACAGAGATGCAACAAAATGGTAGTGGTAAAAACATTTTCATAGCATTAAGCTAAGAGTATGTATATTCTGCTTTAAAACATCGAATGGAAGTCTTGTATTTCAATATCACACTTAGCTCCAGCTGAAAATCTAGGGCCAGATATTTGGCTACAGTCCATCCCTGTCGTTCCACTAACTGAGACAGTTTACAGCAGCTGAGAAGTGATCCCATAAAATAGTGGGGATGGCCATTTGCCAAATGATGGTAAACTAAAAATGTGAAATTATAGCACCATTATATGCAACTTAATTACAACTAATTTCACTGCAATAATTGTAGCACGACTGCTGCTAAAAAGGCTATTGCCCAAGCAAGAAATGTCAAATCATCAGCAGCACTTTGTAGATACYTAGATTTCCAGACTGCTATCAGGTGTATATTCACACTGCATACAGAAGTCAAGGGAAGTCACAAAAACATAGCTAGGGGTAGAATTAGACAACTAGTGAGTCAAGATCTGATATTTTCAGATGGTGAAATCTGTCACATATCTGATATTTTAAAAAATGGCACCCAAAGTAGGGCAACTTGGTGTCAATATACACTGCATATATGCCTCTCTATATGCATGCAAGTTATAATGAAATGCTATATAACAAAAACTATAGGTGTGTATTTATGAACAAATGACTGGTAGCTTGTCTTCAACACATCAACATTAATTGCTTTTTTTTTAAGCCATCAGAACTGTTGTACAAAGCAGCCTCAGCAATCACTTACTTTTCACTCTTTTGCTGACATAAAATTTCATGCAACAATGTGTCTTGGAATGATCCRTACCAGTTCATTAATACTGTGGGGAGATTATAACACTGTAACACTTTTAATAATACAATACCAAAAAACACCCAGACCCTGGGGGAAGACGACATAATGAAAAAATTATCTAGCAATGAGATTTTTTCCACCCCCTGCCTCATAAGCTCTGCTTTACTCTTGCTAATAAATAGAGGGTACACACTCTCCAGATTGCCTGGAACAATTTTGTGATGTGTAACACAATACAATTGATCTCATTGTGTCTGCACATACAGTATCATTTCCAAACAAGTTAATAGTGGGTTATAGTGTGTTTTTGCCTTGCCCAATATATATAGACACATCTTCAGCAAAATTTCTTCTCAATATTTATACTATTAATTGGACCAGATGACGAAAAAGAAATCAAAAGAAGAGGAGGAAGAAGAAGGGAGTTTCCTTTACACTTGTGTCTGATGCTGGGTCTCCAGAAATGGAATGTGAACATTTTCTAGGTTGAGTTCCTCCACACTTTCATAGTCACTCATGGCTACTTCGGAGTCATCAAAGCCGCAGCTGGCTGAGACGTCAGAGGAGGAGGCATCTAGAGAGTTGTGCAAGGATAAGGGCATCTTACCTGCACCAGCGTTTTCTGTGTTCTGGCTTGGGCCAACAGCAAAAGAAGTACTAAACTCATTCCCAGCCTGAGACCCTGCAGTGTCTGTCTCGTTGGGGAACTGATGAGGAGGGAGGTACTGGCTAGGGTGGAAGTGCGGCCGTCGCCGGCAGTCGGGGCTGAGTGTGCTGGCCATTGAGACCGGCTGCGAGGGCGGAAGGGTGTCGTACTGGTCCGCAAAATCCTCGGGAAGAGGAGGTGGTAACTGGTCCTGGCTTAAAAACTCCTCTTCGTGAGGGGGAGGGTAGTCGCTATCGATGTCGTAGCCACCAAGGTAGTAATCTGATTCCAGCTCCCTGGTACTGCCGTGGTGAGCGGAGCCTCCATCGGCTGTCTCGAAATGGGGCACTTCCTCAATGTCGGATAAACGCGCRCTCGGCATCCAGTCGGAGGTATCCCAGTGATACGCTGCAGCGGGAGAGAAGCGCAGCAAGTTGTTAGGCTGCAGCCTCTGACGGACACAAGCTGCCTTGCATGCACTGGCTAAAGAGCGACCTGCAAATCCTCGTAACGCGTTTACGTCCCCGCATGCGCCACAGGCCATGGACACAGGTCAGCCATGCTCTGACCAGAGGGGCAGGAGAGAGGAACAAAATGGATTATACTAATGCAAACAAGCAAAGAAACAAAACACAACCACTCTAAGGTACTTCCTAACGTAGGATGCTACTAGTTTGTATTAGAAATTATGAGGCTATGAAATCAAAATGATAAAAATCTTTGAATTAACGCTTTCTACACTTAAATGAAAAAATTACACGAATGAAGGCTGCATGCTTATGATATTGCACTAAATCTTCCCTTCCACCTCCAATGACTTTGTTTCAGGAGAGGAAGTGTATAAACAAACAATCTGATAGACTGAGACACAGACAGCTGGATCCTGAAAGAAAAAACACGTGGCTGGCCATACCCATGCAGCATTCGAACACAACAGAACTCAAACCAAACAGGACACGTGAAGCAGATCAAAGTGAAAAAAAGATTAACCAGTGCCCTCCCCACCCCAGCACAGACCAAGGGGCAGAATGCATCTAAGAAAAGTCACCTCTGTTGTAGTTCTGTCCTTGATCCATTACAGACACTGTCAGACACAAAGTGAAAAGTAAAAACTGGTAACTCGGAGCTGGCTACCAGCACGCTATCTTACAGATSAGAATACAAAATGCATGCATATTTCTAACGTACAGTGGGCTCAGTGTCATTTTTAGTAGTTTTAATTGCTCTTTATTTTAACGTACAAGATAAGCTTGCCCCGTCAAAAACAGACATACATAAAAGAAATGGTTATGTCGTGTATTATATTCCTTCTCTATCGGATCTTAATTGTTTACCCTCATTGAACAGATATGAAATTACATTAGAGCTGGGCTTCTTAACACAGAATGGGCTATCTGCCCTCTGCAAGGCTTTTAATTGCAAAGTACATTTCTCTCTCACTTGTTCACTTTGAAACAGAAAAATAAGAATCTACCATTCTCAGGGCCGGTTCAAACAAATCTGGGCCCACCTGGGCTCAGATACCATGGTGATGGGCACGGTATAAGAACCTGAATAGAATAGAATACAAAGCCATTTAATGGGGCTGTCAGCTACAGCGGCCCCCAGTCCCCAACCCGCCCGCCGCCTGCACGGCCATGCTAGCTGGTGGGGAGCGAGGCATTCCAGCATGGAGAGGGCACAGGCGCAGGGGAGAGCGCRAGGAGAGAGGATTCGTGTGAACAGGAGGGGAAGAGTAAGCTGCAGCGGTTTCTACATGAGATGCTCTTGTGCAGCCACAGGTTATTGGGCTTCATGCAAGAAGTCACTGGGCAAAGCCTCGAGACCGCGTTGTTGCAGGTGGTTTGGTTGGGGAATAGTCCTCTCGGGCATTAGTCTAAAGTGGGGATGACATAAATGGTGAGAGAGGACAATTCTCCAGGCCTCTGGCGATGAATACCACTCTTGCCCTTGCTTATCACTACATAGTGCACGGGTGACGTGATTTATTCATTAGCTAGAAAGAAGCTTCCTAACCGCTCTGTGTTAGCCTGGCGTGAGGAGGGTTGAGGCTACTGCAGGCTTAGCAGCTCTGTCTGAACCGGCCCTAACCCCATTTCCCTTCTCTTTCTTTCTCTTTCTTTCAAGTGGATTTGGCTGTCTTCCAATCCGTGCTTGTGTCAGGTACCTCCGAGCTGCGTCGTTTCGCCATCCCATAGAACCTCACGGATCTGCTGACTTGCACAACCTGCGGCTCCTGTGGGAAGGAGCCCTCATCCTGCTGCCCAGCCCCTCATCCCGCTGCCCAGCCCCTCATCCCGCTGCCCAGCCCCTCATCCCGCTGCTCAGACCCTCATCCCGCTGCTCAGACCCTCATCCCGCTGCTCAGACCCTTCCCTCCTGCGGCTTCAGAGCAACATTTCTGCCACTGATGCACCCTGAATTCCCGTGTGTCTAACAAAATTCACTGCTCTCATCAGCTCTGGTGCAGAACATCTAAGATTCACAGGTCTCACAAAGATTTCAAGAGTGAGCAAAACCTCTTGAAACTCCTGCTCAAAAATTTGGTGGCCTTTCTGTAGGAAGGTACGACCATTTATGGTAATGCTTTCTTTTCAGTGTTTTATTTTCTTATTTTTTTAAGTGCTGTTAGCCTTGGCTAACTTTCTATGGGACTGCCAAAACTGGGTCATTTTTACATTTCAGTAAGCAAAAGTGCCACAGACAAATATTCAAATGTCACCTTTAATTAAGACTAAATGCGCTTTCCAAAACCAGCGTGAGAATACCTCAAGAGAAAAATCAGTTATTTCACAGAAATAACTTCCTTGGTTATGATAACTTCATCTTTTAGCATTATTCAGGTTGGGCTGGCTGCAGTTTTCAAAGCTGACTTAACTTTGTTAAAGACGTTAAATTTTGGAACTCATGAATCACATGAGTTTATAATGAACTGACTTTCCCCAGGGTAAAGCATAAATAAATAAAAGTAATGTTCAGCTTTGAAAGATCACATTTTATCAGTACATGGCAAAATGTTTTGCAAAAGAGGAAAACAGTGATATTCCTCATTTACAGACAGAGAGACCGGTCTGCTTGCCTGAGGTTACAATCTGCCTGAGGTTCCCTGGGCAGTCAGCGGCAGGACTGAGCATTGGGCCACTGGACTCAACTGTGATGGTCCTTCCCAATGGTCAGGGCAATGCAGCCAARCTGCCTCACCATGTGACATCCTCAGGGTTGTGTCTTTACATGTCCTATCTGACACTGTGTGACCTAGGGCACACTGGCTACCTGCCTAACACGACTTCGCACCTCTCCACATAAGAGTTTATAATCCAGCTTTCCTGCCGCCTGGGATTCTTTACAGCCTTCCTGCATCTTCTTCAGCTTCCCGGCCTCCACAAACAGCATAATCCCAATGATTTGGCTGCATTATGAACTGAATCCTGTTTTCTCTGAAGGCAATGGAAATAAGCAAGCAAAACGCAGACTTGAACAGAGGAGGATGAAGCCCTCGGCTCCTTTTCTACCACCTCCAAATACCCAAAGTCACATCACTCTTGTGTTCTTGAGTTTGCTGATGAACATGCTGATCTGCAAATCTCAATCACCCGCCATGGTTTTGCTGGTCAGTGTAGATTAGTGAGGTTCTGCTGGGATGTTTCACAATGAGAACAGGAAGCATTGTTGCATAACAATAAGGAAAAAAAATTTAAATACCTTCATTTTCTATACTGTCAACTACATTGTTGACAAGCTGTATGACAGTCACTATGGAAGCTTGCATGGGAGGGAAAGCAGAAAATAAAGGGAGGGGAAGGACAGCTTCAGGTTAGTATTTAAAACATGGATCATACGTTACCATAATAAATTCAAACAGACAGAAGTGACATTGAATGAAAAAAAAGGCTGCCAACCAATTTATGATTTATGCAGTGGGTTGCAGGACATTTCATTTCAGATAATCCCATACATTTTCAGAATGGTGATAAATTCCAAAGCAGCATTTCCAAAACGGCATATGGGATGATGTATATCACCTCATAAATTCAAACAGACTGGCCAGCTGATTCAATTAACCACAGCAGTATCTTGTCTACCTGACACTAATTTCTAATTCATTCTTGCTTAAAGGTCTCCGGAGGCAGTGCCATGTGCTCCAAGGGATCATTATCTTTTAAACCATCACAAAATCTCAAATGGTGCAAAGCCCTCAGCTTAAACTACTTCCTAACAGGAATGTTTTACTTATTTACTGTATGTGCTGTTCAGTATAATGCCTCTGGGATTTTAAGCAGTACTATATAATTAAAAGGACACAGTCAAGTAGGCTTTGTTCAAAATTTGTTCTGCATTTGACAGAATACATTCGCAGATGCCCTGTACCTTGCAACTGTTTTAACAAAATACACTTTTCCCTTGAAACTGCTAATATAAAAAATGCAATCATTTTACCAAGCAGAGCCAAGCATGGCTACAAGGTGTCACCTTCTCAGTGACCTGCAGTTTGCACCAGTTGACACTCTGACACTCGAGAACTCGAGACAGAACCCACTCCAAACAGTGGGGAAGCTCTCACTGTGTTTGGTAGACACCGAACCCAACTGTCCCCCCTCTCTTTAATTGCTCTGAGAAAACTGACAGCTTTGGAGCAGGCTGAGGTTGGGACTGGAAATGCTGAGTCAGAGATATTTTTGGTGTCACAAAGTCAATAGACCTAGAGGCCACAGAAAATAAGTTAACTAGTAATAGCATCATTCAAATACACTGAACATATTGAAGACTCTGTTAAATTTTGGGCAAGAGACCAAGTATCTCATCAAATTTCCTCGGTCCTTGTGAATGCTTGCCAAAAAGAGCCTTGATAAGACAAAGAAACTATATTCTAGTGCCGTGACGAGCATGTTTATATGTTTATGCCATGCTTATGCCATCAGTGGCACTGGTAATTGTATAAGCAAAGGAGACTTACAGTGGCTAATGCATATAAACATTGTGCAAAAATGAGAGACGCCATGTCTGTGCAGCTGGGAATGGAGCCACAAGAGGAGTGTTGGTCCCCACTTCAGCAGGAAGGCCACAGTGCTGGTTTCCCTGCTGGTCTGAGTGAGACAGGGTGGAAGGAGCTGGAAACAAAGAAGCCACCACCCAGGTTTGCTCCTCTGCTAATGAGAGGGCCAGCCAATGACAAAAAGGGTAATGTGAGAAGGGGAAGCAATGTTTCTACAAGGATCTTGGAGCTATAGGCAAGGACAGTGAGAAACTAAAGGTCATGGAAGCCAGGGCCAGTGTAGTATCCTCATGGCAGCCAAGAGTTGGCTCAAAACTGAAAGGTGGCACAGTGTGGCACAAACCCCACACTGCTCTGGGGCAGAAAACTGGTGCCATCACTCTGCAGTGACCTGGACACTTGTGTCACAGCCCCTCCACTCCAAGCGACATGTTGACACGAGCAGTTCACAGCTCCAGCAGATCCCATTGCTTCTATGGTGCAAGAGTCAGAACTGTGGCTTTACCACATTGCCTCAACAAAAATTTCTTCAGAAACATGACACGAGCCTGCGTGTCCTCCCTGTCCGGCCAAATAAGCACCCGGAAAAAKTTGTCTCAACTCTAGAAGAAAAAGTGTGAAGAAGGAGCATCCTTTTTTATCTCCCTGAAGAACAAATTGCATTTGTTGCAGTTTCACTGACAACCTCTTAGTACTAACTAGATGAACTAGATGACAGGAAGAATCTGTGGCTCCAAAAGCAGAATCTTCTAGCCCCTATATTCATGTTACTGTGTACACATTTGCTGTCATCTGTATTTGTATTTTAGGCTCTTCTACTGCAAATCCTCTCCCATTCCTCTGCCAGTGCAAGAAAGCTAGAGCATGCTGCCSGTCACTGACCTCTGCAAAATGACTTGCATGATTTAAGTCCTCTCCCTCATTCACTCTGAAGACACATGAGCATTGATTTGTTTACACCCTGAACTAGAATTCTTATCTTTAAAGGCCATATTTTAAATGCAACTTTCACAAAATATGAATGGGCGCAGAAAGGCTAATTCAGCTTTGGAGGGTACTATGGCACTGACTTAAATGGAGGCAGGATCCCACACTTGAAAAGTCCAATTACTATTTGGGAGACACCAAAAGTAACAATGTGTTCAATAAATAAATAATCTGAGGAATTATTATAGTATCAACAATACTATCTTCTTTTTTTCTTCTTTTTCTTCAGGGAAAAGTGTCTGAAAAGCATCGAGAAGCWTGACAAAAACACTCATGACATTCGTGATGGAAAAAGGCCATAGCTAAACCAAAAGGAACTGCAAGTGCTCTTCAGTTTAAGGGCTTTTCCCAACATTTAAGAGTAGGAGGGAAGAGCTGCATGTCAYGACTGTGCAACTGAGTCTCCAGACAGTTCATTAACTGGTGTTGAAGATTATCACAAATAAATTGCACTTATAATCTTTTTCTGTGTATCTGAATGAGGCTTCCCTGACGTTCATCATTCCTCCCAGGCAGAAACATTCTCCCTTTTCCTCTCTTTGATCCACTGATCCACGGGCCTTAGGAGCAAATGTTTCATCTGACTTAGCAGGTCTCATTCAGGCTGCATCTGGCTCTGCCTATAATAACCCACTGAGATAACGATTTAGGACTTTTCAGAAGGCAACTAATATTCTCCAAGCAGGAATTTAAGGGTGCTCTCTTCTTTGTTCAGCTGTGATTACCAGGAAGAGGCCAAGTCACCAAAGAAAGATTGCTCACTGCWGCACGTGGAGCACTAGCAGAGTTTTGCTGGGCCCATGAAGGAGACCTGGCACGCTGCACAGAAATCCCTGTTGCACTGACCAGTAAAACATGAAAGTCATCCTGTTCAGGAGGGAAAATGGTAGCAATCCTACAGTTAAGCATGTTCCCTATTAGTCAATTTGCACGCTGGCAAAGAGACCCTGCTATATCACACCTCTAATTCACTATCCAGCTTAGAAGTGATACAACAGCTGCAAACATAAAGATTCTAATTACAATCATAAAAGTAAAAAAAAAAAAAAAAGGCCACAAGCAGAGTTCAAACCCGGGACTTTCTAACTTCCACTGTTATTAAAGGGTTTTCTAGATATTTCCTATATTTTTTTAATAGTACTAGAAAAAGAGTTCAATCCCTTTGTCCCCAGCATAAGATGAAAGCATCTCTTACCATTGTCATCACCCGAATCCGACTGGAAGGAGCTGAGGGACTGTACTTCGGAGTTGCTGCCCTTATTGCTTCCTGCAAAACAGGTCACTTCTTCAGCGTCATCAACCCCTTTACCTTCATTGACAGCGAAAACAAAGCAGAACAGTACTCTATAGGTATGCACATTTGCCTATTTATACCATGGAGCCTTTTAAATGTTGCCACCAAGCAGCCTTTTTTTTAGGTCAGAACAGAATTAGTTCCTTCAGACAGAAGAAATGACCTATTGGTTAAGAAGGCAGCTGATGGAAATACTTAAGACTTTTGAAGCATCTGAAGCCCAAATAGTTTTTCAAGTGGTTCACACCACCATAATCAAGGAAACAAAATCTGTATTCAATATTGCTTTTTCCACGCCATGTTGTCTCAGCAGCAAAGAAAATGAAGACTTAAACACTGTGGTATAAACATCTTATACAAGAGATCACAGTCACATTTATCTTTACTGTTTATTTCCTAATTTGAGAATCTCATTAAAAGCTCATWCAAAGCTTGGAGAAGTTATTGGGCATCTTTGAAATCACATCAGTGATCCTTGGATCAGATTGTAATGGCTCTGCTGCTGACAAACAGCAGATTAACTTACATTACTTTTCATCAAGAACATTCATTCTGGACAATTCTCATGTGATTAAACACACAAAAATAAGTACATTCAATCACACATTCTGTGAGTGATAATAAGGAACAAAAAGTTATCCTTCATAATAAGCACTGAGATACCTGAGCTAATTACAGCTGGCCAAGCTCAGGTGCTGCAAACAGGCTATGCACACAAGTTCAGCTCTGCACCTGCTGTCTGCAGGTATTTCTAACCAGCACGAGGCACCTCCACATGGTAATGGTTGATTAGCTCCTGCTGAGAAACAGGGTACCTGCTAAAYGGAATGAGTGCTGCAGTAATGAAGCTGCACTGCTTCCCACTTCTTGACAGCTGAGGTCAGTCTCTGGGGTACATCCTCATATTGTACAGAATGTTTTTTTTTTAGATACTAGCGTTATCTGTGGCAGAAACACCCAACARAATACAGAACAGAACACACATGGAGCTTTGTAGACTTATTCTTTCAGTCAACAAAGGTAAAGCTCCACCACTACAAGGAATACAACCTGGAGAAATGATAATTATCCCTGATTTATGCTAGAAGCTCTTTGCCGGGGTGTTGCCTTTGATGAAAATACGCATGTCAAGACATAGTTATAAGGTAGTTTCAGATTCCTCTCTCTATTCCTCAGATCATATTGTCCGAAAAAAAATGGGAATATAAAAATTCTTGGTCGTAGGCTATTACGTGACAGTTCTAGTTTAAGCAGGCAATGGAATTGGATGTATGCGGAAAAAATTCCAGCCCATATGACCTGTCTTGACTTTTGAAGACAGATAATGCAGGACCTTGACTTTGACCCTGTGAACAGGTATTTCCTGAAGTGACAGAATATGTCAAGTTTTCCTACAGCTTGTTGAGGAATGGTGGTTTTGCTATGATACTAGGCTGGAGAAACACAGCACAAATGTGTTAACTGTGAGAATCAGAAGTTTTGTAATCTTTCTGATACTGAATGAAGACAGGAATGCAAAGGACTGAAAAGGTGATCCACTAAGTAGTGCATGATTCCCTGCTCCTTTACAGAGACACTGGAAATAACACAAAATATTTGATAGTGCAGTAGAGCTCCTGCAAAACAGAACTGCTTCTTGCAAAAATTTTTAGGATTTTGAACTTCCTTGGGAGACTAACTGTGCAATGACAACAGAGCTTGTAGTGAAAAATTAAACCTTTTTTTTTCTTTTTTTTTTCCAAGGAAAGATGCTTGCATTTTATCACTTGAAGAAGCATACCTGCTTTCTGAAGGAGCAAGACAAGTATTATGTTTAGTCATATTTAGATGCATATTAAGTAGAGCACTTGTATGCCTAGTGTTAAATATAGCATTTCAAACCATAATCATTTCTTTTTGAAAAGTACGTCACTCTTCAGCTTAGTGCATTAAATGTTCTCCATCATACTCGCAGGGCATTTGTCAGAGAACATTTTCTGATTCATTCTGCTACTCCTGCGCTACTGCAACTGCCACATCCAAAAAACGGCACTTACCTACAGCAGGAAAGAGCGAGAAAAGTGAGCGGCACTACTTACTTTCTGTCCCGGCGTCCCATGTGCTTTTCCTGATGGAGTCACAGTCTGAGCGGCAGGGAGACACAGCGGGCAAGTTTGGAGCTACGCTACACACCACGACACCCCGCCTTGCCGTCAGTATCCGAGGGGACTCGGGATGAAACGTCGTCATCTCCTGGTGCTCCACCCCAAGGCCATCCACTATCTTGTCCAGGTTATTCCGCGAGTCACTTTGAAAGCACGGAGTATAGGCCATGGGCCTCACGGGAACCTGTGGAGGCCCAACCTCCTGGTAGATGTTTCTGCTGTCTCCACTGTTCCTGATGTTCTTGAATTGGATGCCGTTACTCTTGTTGAGCAGGGCGGCAGTAGCCGGATCCTGCACCAGGGTGATATTGTTGCGTGAATAGTTCTTCCTGAACACTTTCTTGCGGAAAATGATGAAGAGGACAATCAGCACAAATATGACAAACAGGACCACGGCTATGCCTATTAGCTCCTCCTTGCCGACGTATGAATGTCCAGCCTGTATATTGGGTACCACCACAGGCCGAAGGCCGCAGTACTGCCCCACGTAGCCAGGAGTGCAGTTGCACAGAAAGGAACCAAAGATGTTGACACAGGAGCCACCGTTTTCACATTCTTCTCTCTCACACTCRTTGATATCTTCCTCGCACCTTGAAAGAACGAAAGGAGAACGTGGATCTTGAAGAATACTTAGCAACAGCCCAGCTTGCATGTGATGACTTGGGTTGCCAAGGGGCACCACTACAGTCAACACCTTGACAGTATTTAGCAAATGGCTGTATTAATATTATCTTATTTTATGGCATTTATATTTTTCTACAGATAAAAAAGCACTCCATGGCTTTCTAACTCAATAAAATGGAAATATCAAGATGGACCTAAGAGTTTAAAGCATCTGATAGRATCTAGCTTCTTGATTCTTAATGCTGCTCACAGAATGCAGCATTTTTATACTTTTCTGGAACTGTCCCATGGGATTCAGTACAAAATATTAGGAAGATTCAGGGAGAGAATAGCAGGGAAACTAAATATAGGTAAAAAAWAGAGTACTAATTTGAGAGAAGAGGTGGAAATAATGAATATGTAAAATTGCTTAGAGCCGAACCTAAAATGAGCAAATATTAGAGAAGTATTAAAAATTAGTAAGAATAACTTCARACAGACAGAAAATTGAACAGGTGACAAAAATAAAACAAAAAATAAAAACAAAAACTGAAACAATGAAAAAATGAAACAAGCCACACGAGAAAAAGGAAAATGCCGAAGTGCGGGTGAGGGGATTTTTTTGTTTCTACACTGCATATATGATGAAGGTCAGGATTTTTAAAAAGTGAATGTAATAAATTCAGCTTTTATGGCAAGCCTAAGGTGACTAAATAATTTTGACTGCCTTTTTGCTAAACAAATATTAGTATTTGGGTACCCAATGCCCTATCACCTCGGCTACACCCTCCATCACCATGTGGTGGGGCTTACTTACGTTACGCCCGTCAGGCCGTTTTTGCAGTTGCAAATGAAAGCGTTGCCGATGGGATCACATGACCCTCCRTTTCGACAGGGATTTGGGAAGCAGGCTGTAATCTCTGACTCACAGTTTCTTCCAGTGAACTGGGAGAGACAGTCGCACTGATAGCCTAGTAGGTGAGGAACACAGAGAGAAATAAATCGGATGTCTGGACAATTGAAGCTCTTGTTTACAACGAAGGACCAGAGGAATCACTGCAAACCAAGAGTTCAGTTGCAAGAAATATTCTAAATTAAGGATATACTTCCTGCTTTCCCCTTGGCCCCCAGAAAGACCACATTTGCTGAGAAGAGCAGCCTGCACTTCTCCTGGGGCTTCACTCAGGAGCAAATGCATTTCTGCATCTGCCTTTTACAAGGAGAGCACAGTAGGAATGTGACAGCAATAATAAAACACTTGACAATGATACTTCACACTTTCATAAAAGGCATCATCCAGACATGAGCTATGAGCTTCATAAGGGTAGCTGAACTCGTCAATGCCATCTCTAATCAGAGCTGATTAGCTGCAGTGTTTGCTATTAGAAAACTGATTAATCACAAGCTGGAATAAATCAGATACAACTCTGCTCAAGTAGAGAGGGACCTTGTGGGATCATGGTCCTGTTTCCATACTTTTTGCCTGCAGAGCAGCAATAACAGTCAGAAACAGATTCTGAAATGATCAGTTCTCTTCTCCAACTACTAAATGACATTTTTTAACTCTCTTCATGATTTCATATGGCAAAAAAACTTTAATAAAAACTTTATTTAAGGTCATAAAGATATACAGTGAAACAGCGCACCGCTTTGGATTGTGAATTAGACATTTAAATCCCAGTCCTTTTTCACTCCAAGAGAGCAAGGGCCATGTAGTTGGGGATAAAACGAAAATGTGGCTCAGGCAGTTCCTGGGAGGAGAAAGTCTCCTGGATTAGAGATATTGAGCTAGCTAAGTCTTCCCAGAAATCTGTAATCTAAATGCTCCAAACAGACATGAGAACTTGTAGGCAAGGTTCAAACCTAGGTATGGTGTTAACATATCAAAACAGCTTAATGAAAACGTTGTATTAAGCAACKTGAACAAGAAAACTTCCTGCAATTAATACTGCTGAGATTAGAGCTGAAATGGCTCAATGCAACGCATTTTGTGTTAGAATTTTGGAGATAAGGTGATGTAGATGAAATACCACTCCATTGGTGATAAACATACATGCTTTAAAAAAAAATGATATCTATTCATCTGAAGCCATGTACAAGTTAGARATAGGCATTTTAAAAGACACTGTTCTAGGAAGGAAGCCAGGAATTTAAGGCACAGTTTTGAGGAAGAGAATTTCACAGAAACAATTTGGAAAAGCCCAGTGGGTGCACGAGGCAAAACCAATTCTGCATGAGGGCTGCCACATCTTTTATGTCCTATCATCTGGTTCAACTCCCCTTGTTCCATTATTCTAAATGAATTCTTTGATGAGGACAGGCTCTAGAGAACATACTTGGAACCAGACTTACTGGCTTATTCAGTCAAGAGTCCAATCCCATTTAATTTAAGATAAATGAAATAGATACTCAAATATCATGGTGTTTTGTTGCTCTACTCTAAAGAGGAAGATAGAAGCACTGTTGTTTTCAAGGTTTCAGAGTTAATGAARAGAAACAATACCACTTTGGGAATTCCCATAGCACGTTTGGTCTGCATCAGCAGGATGGGATTATTTTTTGGGCTCTTGTATGTATTTCATTCGGCTAATGAGAATAACCTTCTGGAGAGATGGAGACCTGAGACTGAAGCATTGGAAAATTGAGAATGCACTGGCCATTGTATTTTGAAGCCATCCCTAYGGAAGACTTATTATAAGCTGGAAAAGTCCCTGATCTAGAAATAATGTAGGAGGAAATCACAGGATGAGTAAGTAAAGCTTCAGTGTTCCATTTTATGACTGAACAGTGACATCTATAGTTCAAAAATTTAGAGTAATGTTTTTATATATAATTTTATGGTCTCTCTGAGTTTAGTGAAACGAAAATATTCAATTCAAACATAAAACTGTTTTATTCTTAAATGCACTTTTGCTGTATATGATGACAGAATTGATATTTTTTTGTTTGTTAAATGATATTTTAAACTAAGTTATTTTCAGTGACTTAAAAAATCCTGCATCTAAATTACTAATTGCCAATCACTATTAAAACATCACCTACATTTTCACTTCTTCCACTTGCTTCAATCACATTAATTCCAATTCTGGGTTCTCATTCATTGTCATATTTTTTTCACTGCGGTCAACCTGAGAAAGACTGTTTAGCACAAAAAAATCRAAAAAACTCTTTTGACTCATTACAAAAAGGTGGATTTATTCATTATTGTTGTTACTCATTATTAAAGGTGTACTAACTTACGTGAACATTTTATACTAAGAGGAGAAACTGATTGTTTTGTACGGATCAGAGCTCAACAGGGTAGCGTACAAACAAAAAACAACATGAAAAGCTTGTTTACGAAAGTGTACATTTTTGACTGAAGTCAATGTAAGGATCTCCTGGTGGAACACAGACACATGCTGGAAGACTGTGATCTGGAAAAAATATTCTTGATCAGGAGTGCATTCCAGATCTAACAAAAAATGCTTATTGCCCTTTTAACTTAATATCCACAGAATATATTATTTGTTTCCTCCCCTCCTTTTAGCACAAGAATAAYAAGCAAACTTTCCACAGCCACGGACAGCACAGTTGAAAGAAACATTATGTGTCCCTCTCTTCTCAGCAGGGGAAGAAGGAAATCTCTTTCCAGCTATCTAGGATTGCTCGTGCYACAACAGGCACTACCCAGAGGGCATCAAGAGCAAGGACAGGCTCCAGACATCAGGCTGTTCCTAGGCTAGCAAGCCCTGCCTTGCTAGTGTGTCCTTTTCAGTCAGACAAAATGTTAAGAAGAAAAAGGATATTTCAATCTGTACTGTGCTTTAAACGAGGACATGACATAGGTTTCCTGTTTACACCTATGTTTGTTTGGCATTTAACAAAAAGGGCAAGCAGGAAAGGGAATGCAGCTAACATCTTTGCTGGGAGAATTCCCAGCCTGAGCATCTCAATGCCTCTTTATCCTATTTGATAAAGCCTCCTGTGTTACTTGGCTTTATCAAAGAGGTTGCTCCTTAGTGATGCCAGTTCTTCTTCTGAACATGTGTATGCTCCCGTTTCAATTTAGCACATGCAAGAGGGCCTGAATTTCATTTGGTACAAGCGTTGGCTCTTGCRTTTGATCTCACCCTGTAGTTCCTTTCCATGCTGTGAAGCTAGACCTAAAACAGGCCTGACCTTGGTCTTGCTCACCAGAACCTCTCATGGTGAAAAGCACTGGTGTTCTGGTATTCCAGAACTGTCTGTTTGTCAGCCATACAGATTGCTGCCACTTCAGATTTATCTWACCTGTCTTTAGAGATGTGACCATTGTCTCATGACAAAGTTGGTATGAAAAGTTGGTAACCCTGGTTTTATTAGACCAATGCCTTCTATGAAACTATCAGCAGGACTGGGCTGTATTTGCTTTGAAGCTAGTAAATTAAATCCACCTATCTAAAAATATAGCTAGAACATAATTTACAAAAAATTCTAAAACCTTTTATAAATGAACACTGGCATGCAAATTTGGGACATTAAGAGTAATGTTTGCTGTTTTGCTTGTGTGTGTGTGACTGAGCAAGAACATATTCAAATCCAGGTCCATGGCTATGGCATTAATACACAGTATTTCTCTACACATTGTTCTACCTAATTTTCAAAATACCCATGTCTGAATGTTGCTAACATGTTTCGGTGATTAAAATCACCATCTCAGTTTAAGCTGCAATTCTTTCCTCTCTTTGGATTTTAACTTTGTTGATGAAAAAAAAAGAGGAAGAAAAAAAGAGGAAGGTTTCAAAGAACGAGTAGTGGGGAAAACAGTAGCTTTCTCTTCTCATGTTCTGCCTACCTGTCTTGGCTTGATAGATATTTCTGCTCAAATGCTTTATATTCAAATAAAATTGCCTACTCATATAAGCCATTATTTCAATCAAATCCAGATGTATGTAGGACTGATCAAATTAAAAGGAAGTAACTATACTTATAATTGCAGGTCTAAAAGCACTTTTTTTTTTGTGGTTGAAAAGCTTTGTGTGGTATTCAGATTTGATTACAGTAAAGCTTTCCATTGCTGTGATTATTCATGTTGTTATTCAAGCCTATAAACATACACTTACTATTGGCAGAATTGGTAATGCCATTCTATTATTAAAGTTGTGTGACACTTCCCATTTTAAGACCTCATATTCAGCAGCTTATAACATACCCAGCCTTTATAAACACGTGGTTGAAATTTATCAGGAAATTTCAATTCCAAGAGCAAAGCAGTTTCTGAGGAAAAAATATATTGGCTTCACTGACCCACATTTAAGAGRAGAAACTAGAAAAGTGGAAAATATGCCCTGTATTTCAGGGATGTGGTTTCCAGTGTCTCCAAGAAAACTGCCCAGATCCGTACACAGCAGAAGCCTGGTCAGAGATGAGCATGCAGTATTTGGTGGTGACTTCCCTCATGCCAGCTGCTGGGGTCTCCTGAGCTGACCCAGTAGATTCCTGTTTCTGGGCATCACCTTTGCCACCTAGACCGAGCTCTCTCACCCATCCACAGCACTGCTCCTGAGCYAGGAAATTCAAGGTTGCAGCAAATACATCCATATGGCAGGAGGGCACACTCAGCGCATGTGAAAGCGTGCAACATTTCTAAAAGCAGGGCTGTAATATGGCTCTATTCCCATAGCTGAATGGTGAAGTAAAAGGTAAGGAGAGGCATTTTTGTTAATGATGGACTTGAATATTACCTAGTAATATTGTGTGTGTGTGAGAAAGACAGTAATATTTACAGATATTTCTATTCAGAAAGGAAGATACCAAAACCAAAAGGAATATAGTTGGAGATCTGTATTTTACATGACCAGTTTATGCAAATTATATGCAAATCAGACAAGGCCCCTTTGGATTCAGGCATGTAGCCCACCACCTCTTTGATATTATAATGCTGGGCAATCTTTCTTTGAGTGTTTCCTTTTAAAGGTAGCTACAAGTCTGAGCTCTCTTCTCTCTTAATTCTCTTGTAAAGTACCATAGGACTTTGTATGGAAAAAGGATGCTAAYAGTATGAAATCTTGAATTGCAAAATTCAAATTACAAGACTTAATTTATTAAAATAAACTGTGCTATTATGTCAAACACCCATTGCTTAGGAAAATGAGCATTATTCTCCMATAACTTTAATAGGAGAAAAACATCATAGAAAATATGAGTGAGGAGATTCTGATGAGGCTGAAGACATTAAGCCTGGGAAAGGAGCCTTTGCTATCACAGTATGTTTATGAATGCTTCCTTTTCCTCCCTGCCCTCAAATACTGTTTTCTTTATGAAGATTAAAAAAAAATGAAGATTTACTTCATTTTTTTAAATTTTGGATCAAACTAGGATGCTAACATCTATGCCAGCAAGTACAACATCCTGCCTTTCTTAAGTGCATGCTGCAATTTGTGGCTCTGTAACGAGCATTTGCAATGCTGTGGGGCTCTCCTCTCCATGGGATTTAATTACATGGTCTTTTCATGCACGGAACACACAAACACCAGCAGAATTACTTCGCCTGGTGGAAACAAAAATATCCACGACTTCTCCTAGTGGGCCGGCTTACAAAACCACCGAAGCATATTTAGGGCCCACTGCTTTGGAATTATGGCATTATAACTATCCTTTATTTACATGCRCTGCTGAGGCAGTAAAAACAGCAAACATTTTTTCACGGCAGGCAGCTGGAATATCGCCGCAGGGCAGAGGCCCCCTCGCCGAGGCAGTGCCGCAAGCGAGTTTAACAAATCCTGCGCCCAGGCTGCAGGCCGCAAGTTAGGCCGACACCGGAACCGTGCGTGTCACTGCAGTAATGAAACAGATCTGGTGTTTAGGGCCACCAGTGTCTCCTCCACCTCACTGCTGCCCTCAGCTCCAACCGGCACGCACAYGGCCCTGGGAAAAAGATCACTGTAAAGTGATTTGTTAGAAAGGTTTCAATTTACCCATCATGAGATTGCTGAGCAGTACTGTAAATAGACTCCAGCAAAATCAATAGACGGAGCTGCTCCTGCACTTCCAGGCTGCGAGCGTGGTGAACGCTTAACCTAATTTATTAAGTACGGAATCTGAATCAAAGCCTTATTACCACCACATTCATCTCGCTCTCTTATTTCCGAAGAATTTAAATCATCTGTTTTAGCAATTTTCTCAATGGCCAGTGCATCCTTTTCCCTTGGGATTATCTTCCTTTGGCTCCTGCCTTGTATTTTTGCAGCACTCGTTTCCTTTTCTTCCCTCTGTCTATTTTGCCATCAGCCRTGGTCAACTAGAACGTTTACCAAGCAGGATCTGGAGCAGGGCAAACTTGAAAGGAGATCTCGAAAGGAGAGTCCTTGGCACTGGTGGTGGTGGCTTGGAGGCAGAGGGTTTCGGCAGCAGAGAGAAACAGGCTCCCAGCAGCTGTGATCACACCTAAAACTCACATGTTCCTCCTAGGCAGGGCAGGAACCCATCCTGGTGGGCTGGTTGCTGCTGCCCTTGGAAATGACAGTTCCTCTGCTCTATGCTCAGGAAGCTCAGACAGGCTGGGAGAACAYTGGAAACAGTTGGACTGTGGCCTTGGCTCTGCAGAAGCCACAACCCAGCTCCTTCATTAAGAACAAGCTTCTGCTGACGTGCAATGCTTAATTTTTGGAGGGAGGTATCAGCTATGTGTTATTATTGGTGCACATATATAGGTGTACATATGTGTTATTTTTCATTATTCTCAGCTAAAATAGGAAGGTTTGAAAAAGTCCACAAACTATAACTTGGCTAGAGTTTTCCTAAGGGAAAGGTCCCGGATGCACAAAATCAATCGTGTGTGTAAGACAAGGAAAGGAAAAGAAGGTACAGGAGAAGCCCGTAAAAACACAGAGAATCCAGAGGAGATGCTAGCTGAGACATCTCAGCATGAGGAAATCCAAATTGTTACTATATAGGGCAGCTATATAGCAGTTCATGTAAGAAATTTATGTGTGGGTCTAGACATTCAGTTTTGGTCAGATTACAGGCTTGAAGACTAAGCCGTCCTAAAGCTAAGGATGTTCCTRAAGTTTAGAAAGAGATTGCTGTGAACAGCACCATCATAAAAATTCCCCAGTAATGAAGGACTAAGCAGGTTGGGCATAGAAAACCTCTGTCTAGGTGAGGGATTGGTAGGAACTCAGAAAACCCTGAGTTTGAGCTTTTCACTGCTAAGATGCTGACTATTCTTACGGTTCTTTCAACCTGTGCTCTTGATCATATCTAGTAAATCAATAATGCCAAATCACAATACCCACCACGTAACCACTGGACAGGAACCTCTGATATATGCACTGTTTAAATCAATGCCTTTTAAACTTTGGGTAGCATTACCTGGATCTTGAGGCATTCTGACCTTCAAGGAAGCTTTAAAATAYACTTCTGGGGGGGTTTGTACTGGTACGGACTCGCTATTTTACACACAGACATGTAATCACATTACTCACTCCCCAAAGGACCAAGGTGTTTGTGGACAGCTCAGTAATTATTTGYGACAGCTTCAGAAACACACAAGGCCACACTGCTGTTACACCTGTGACGGACAGTAGAGATCACCATCTTCATGCAACCTTTGGAGCTGTAACTCAATCCTGAAAACCCAGCTAGGCATTACGGGAACTGTAATTCTCTTGGTTTCCATATACCCGGAATTATACTAGCAGCCAATAAATCCATTTCCTTCTYCAAAGCTAATGTCAGGAGAAGGTGCACAGCTTCATTGTTACAGAGCATGCAGTGTTTATAAAGTTGCAGTATCTCTCCGTTTTAGGGARTCCACAGGATTTCCCAAGCATGTTGCTGCATAAGGGCATTGCTGACAATAAGTTGTAGGGGGGGAAAAAAAACGTGAAAGACATAAGGTAATGCAAAATATTTACCACCAGATGGCACGCTCGTACAGGTCCCACCGTTCTGGCACGGATGCCTCTCGCAGGCATCGGGGTAGAGAACACAGCCAAGCTTTAATTCGGTCAGGCCAACCACTTCTGCAAAGCTGCTGCGCTTGTTCTGCAGYGGCAGCTCGTTGTTGTTTAGGACCACAGAGTCCAGGCAGCCCTGAAAGCCACTCAAGACCTGTGTTGTTCTCTTGTCCGTCAGGCTCCGGACGTTGTCCACTTGGACCTGGGCTCCAAAATACACAGAGCTATCCGTGCTCAGGGTCTGGAAATAGAGGGGGGCTTTGCGGCGCTCCACGTAGCTGTCGTCGAGGGACARGCTCGTGAAATTGCGGTTCAGCTCCAGGAAGACCGAGTGCCAACTTCCGTCATTTACAGCCCGGCCAGAAATTCCCAGGATCCCTGGGCCGCTTCCACAGTCCAACTGGAACCACAGTTTGCCATCCACAATCTGCGAGAGGAAAACAGAAATCCCAGCRCTTCAGACACCCGCACATCTCACAACCCACTCACAGGCTGGACCCGCAAACCTAGAAGTCTCCTGGACAGTCTGCATGCAGACTCAACCTGTTCTCCTGCATAACACTGAAACAGCAAAATGTAACTTCAGCATCAGACCAAAGCATAATGTAATAAAAATAAGTCTACTAAGAATTTACAAAAAGCTGTAGACAAACTGTAGAAATAGCAACACATAATCCATGAGAGGACTAGGAAAACAGTCTATCTCCTTCAATAGGGCACAACTTGGAAGACCCAAGTTCTGCTCTTATCTCTGCTGCTAAGGGTTAGACCCATAACCCATTAGATCCATAGATCCCTAACCCATTCCCTTGGGCAAGTCCCTCCATCTCCCAACAATCGGTGCTGCTGAATGGGCAGCTCTTCAGGGCAAGGAGTCACCTCTCAGTGTTTGAGAGATGCTTGAGGAAAAATGATCAGTGCCTGCCCTGTACTCTAGCAAGTGATGTTACGTGCTCTGGAAATGCACTTAACGGACTCAACTCCTGTGTGTTCGTAGTTTTGAGGAGTATCTCATTGGATATGCACTTTTCCTTACGTGTTGTAACTTCAGGTCCYCTACTGATCAACACAAAGCTTCTGGCTGGTCAAAGGCCAGTTACATCCCAGGACATACTGGAACTACCCGCTCTCTGCCTACCATGCAGATTCTGTAAGATGGCTTCTGTTTCTCTTCTCTTCCTTGTATATATGCTGGGTTCAGGCCTTTGGAGGGATTGTTATGATTTCTAACAATCCCTTTTGACCTTTGCCAAGTGGGCAGGTGCAACGGGAAAGCTGAGGAGCGTGGTGTGGGAGATGGGGCACTGGAGAGGACTGGGAGATCGTCATTTAATCTGTCCATATTTCAGCTTTAAAATCCCAAAAAGCGAAAGTCTAAAAGCAAAACCTGTCCAGGCTTGGAGGGGACCCAGGTGGGGATGAGAGTGGATGYAGTTACCCACAGAGCGAGAGAGAGAGATGTGAAGCAGAGGCTCGTGTCTCCTTGGGTTGGAAGTCCTCATGACGTTCATGCCAGGAGGCTGGGGCCAGCTAAATGTAGAGCAAGGGTACAGAGTGCTGTTTTCCTTCATTAGCATTTACCCAAAGATTCTAGGTTTCTCTAACAGATGGCAGATAAGTTTAAAATGGCTGACAGATAGGAGGTAATTTCTTATGACATGTTAATTGGATTGAAGCTCTCTGAAAGCTCTTGCAAATATTTTATGTCATGCTCTAGGAAGCATTTATTCCTGCAAGYCCCATCTCAAGACAGTTCTGTCCCATTATTTATCCCCTGTAAAGTTCAGGTGCTGTGTCCTTTTTCAGCCTTCCCTGTAGCACATGTTGTACTCTGCCCCAGTTTACTCAATGCAACTGCTGTCCTTCAGCCTCTCTCAAACGATGCTATGTTGAGAGCTGACTAGAGCTTACACTAMCTTCCTTCTTCCAAGTACTGAATTAGATTCATCACTACAGCTAGTGAAAACACAAAAGAGAGGGGAGAGGAACCTGTTCTTAGGGCCTGGACCCATCTATGCAATGGACAGAAGAACCAAAATGTCCTCCTCTGTACAGAGTTGCTATGACCGTCAAAGGGTCTTGGGTCAAAAATGCAAAATCCCACCAGAGTTTGGTGGCCCTCTAAGATGGCATAGCTAAGGCTTGACATGAGGATGCTGCCTCATGTCCATGTTATTCTAGACTGAATGACTGCACAGYCATTTTAACAGTGCTAGCTGGCAACTACCTTTGGCATGGGTTGGAGCCATCACTCAAACTCATCTCCACCATGACGAGCATAGCTTGAAGGTAAATGGTCAATCCACACAAGCAGACCCTGCTCACAGAGTCTCCAGCAAGTAAATGTCTGAGACCTTACAAGTCACTCCAAGTAAAGAAATCTTGACATACAGTCTGGAGTGTTTTTTGCCATTTCCTGGTGCTTAAGACCTATACTTGGACAGAATGTGAGTCTGTGCAATACATTAAAGCAAAGTTTCCCCCTTGATATTATTCCTATTCCTGTTCTTATTCCTATTCATACTAGCATTTTACTACCCTAGGAGATTTACAAAACCATCCAGAAGAAAACTAAGGGTAAAACCTTAAGTTCTAATCATCTCTGAACTTCCTTTAGCAATTCCCAGACCTAAAGTCTTACAACCAGCTGAATCTAAGTTGGTGTGTAACCTCAAGCAGATCTGTTGACATCAGAAAGTCATGGTGTCAGCCACAGTACCCCACTGCTCCACAACTGCTTGGTTGGGGTAGGCACAGAGATGGCTAAAGAAGGTGACCAGTTCCTCAGGAATGACAATTACCCATCTACTCTGCATGACAAGTAACATGCAGAAAGAGCCATAAGAAAAGCCCAAGAATATTCCCCTACTATGGGTGGCTGGTTATTGAAAAGTCATTGACCTGCAGAATGTAATGAAACTGGAAAGAAATGAGATCTACTACTGTAACATAACATGCTTGAGGGATGAATGTTCRTTATTTATACAACTCAATTAAAAAAAGCTCATGTGTGTATAGAAAAAGAAGTCTGGATTCACTTTTCACTAAAAAATCCTTTCTCATAGGACTCAACACTCAGCTATAAACTATTTCTGTAGATTGCMATTGGGCCTATAAAAGCATCTGCTGAGCCTCCTCAGTCTTGGTAAAAAAGATGTCCTATAAACTGAACTAGTTTTTCTCCAGCGATGAAGCAATAGTTTATTTGCTCCCTGTGTAACAAAACAGTCCACAAAACTTTAAGGTGCTGCTCAGGAAGTGCAGTCTGACTCAATGTGATTACAAATCATACTGAAAAACACAACTACCACAGAAKGCTTTGAAAAGCAGCTTTCATGGATAAGCAGTTACTTCTCTCCTTACTCTAAAGGTTTTTACTATGAAAACTGTTCTTCTACTGACTGTATATAACACATTCACCTCCCCAAAGGCTACTTACACCCTGAAGAACCCACCRCCTGCGTGCCTATTGCCCCTATTCACAGAACATGCTTTTCCAATTACCTTGCTAAATGCAGCACAAATATGAGCACCTGGGATAAATATTACACCATTTACATCTGGGAATCCATGATTTAAAAGATTAACCATAAAAATGTTTTTTTCTTTTCTTTTCTTTCTTTCTTTCTTTCTTTCTTTCTTTCTTTCTTTCTTTCTTTCTTTCTTTCTTTCTTTCTTTCTTTCTTTCTTTCTTTCTTTCTTTCTTT